TGTATATAGTATTTATATTTGTGTTGATATAACCATTTTAAGTTTTTCTTTATTGAGATTAATCGGTCATTTTCTTTATGATGTCTGAGTTTCACATCATCAACTACAGAAATATTGGGACATTGTATTCAGTAAATACTGTGAACACTAGACTTAGGCCTGTGGGCTTCCTAAAAACTGGTAAAAACCGATAATGCCAGCCTATGAGGAAGATGAGAGAGTTGGATCCATAGTTTATGGCCTGGCTGGGCCGCTTAGTGAGTGGCTGTCAGAAGTAAAAAGAGAAGCAGGGTGTGGTAGTGCATGTCTGGAATCCCAGTACCTGGAAGGCAGAGGAGGCAGGAGAGGGCTGGGCTAATCCTGAAGGCATTTGAACAACTTTTAAAACTAGAGAACAAAACAAAACAAAGGAAATGTGAAACATAACCAATTGTTTAAGTTTCTCCAAATATAACACTGCATAATTTCCATTAACAGGTAACCCTTGTATATTCAAAATCAGTTTGTAGGATAGTTTTTCTGTTTCTTAACAGTCTTTATGAAAAGGAATTATAGAGATTAAAAATCAGTCCAGCCAGGTACAGTAATACATGTTTTGTCCTCCCAACAGTTGGGCTACAGAGGCAGGAGGGTCCCCACAGTAGTGAGGCTAGCCCGGACATAGCATCACAGATTAAATAAATTTCTTGACCTCTTCTTGCCTAGCTGTTGGCTTGTCAGCTCTTTACTACTAATAATAGCAATACATGCTCACAGTATATAAAAGGATTATTCCACAGCAAGAACCCAGACCTAAAAGCTGTCTTCTGACCTCCTGTGCAAGTGTGGTACATGTGCGAACTCAACAGCATAGACACATAACTGTCATAAAGTAACTCGTCATGGCAGCACAGACCTGTAATCCCAGCATCATGATACAGTGGCAAAAGAACCGCAAGTTCTAGTTGGCCAGCCTGGGCTACATAGCAAAAGATTTAACAGCAGAAGCTTATAGTTGATGTGGATGTGGAGCATTTAATGTTTGTGTGAACAACCAGACAGCAAGTGTGTACACCCAGACTTTTTTCTAATACAGAACTAATGTGATTTCATTATTCACATTTAAGGTGTGTGTCTCAAATTTAAAAAGTAAAATGCCAGGCAGTGGTGGTGCATACCTTTAATCCTAGCTCTCGGGAGGCAGATCCCTGTGAGTTTGAGACCAGCCTGGTCTACACAGTGAGTTCCAGGACATCACAGAGAAACCCTGTACCCCCCAAAAAAACAAAAACAACAACAAAAAGTAAAATGGAGGCTGGGAGCACAGCTCAGTGGTAGACATGTCTGGCTTGCATTAGATCCCAGGTTCCAAACCCGTGGACCACAAGAAATATGAGGGGACCTCTGCCTGTCTTACATGGAGCCTCTCTAAGGTAGACACCCCTGCCCATCCTAATCTTACATGGGGCTTCTCTGAGGTGAGCCCTCTGCGTCACCACCCACATGATCCAAGCTGGCGGAAGACATGTGCAGAGAGGCTCTTGAACCTGTGTGGTAGGCCTTTTGCAAGTTGGGTTTTTTGTAATATTTTGCTTTACCAAAAAAACAAAAGAACATAATTATCGGCCATTGGCCATAAAGAACAATTTTTAATGATGCCTCAACCCATGGTTTTTGTAGTAAGTTCAAAGAATCAAATGACATTTCCCAACTGAGCACCTTCCACAGTACCTGTGTCTGTAAAAACATGGAAAACAGAGTAGACCTGATTCTAATCTGTCTAATTATACAGTAAGAATATATGTTTATTCTCTTGTAATTGAACTAATTGAGAAAAATTTCTCCTTATCTTTAGATTTGTTTCCAAACTTTTTTATTTTCCATATTAGATAACTGTTTATCATTCTGCATAATTGACGCTAAGGATAACTTCAACCAGGAAGAAAAGAACATGTACAGCCTTGTGACTATTAGCAGTGAAACAAGATTATATTTCAATTTTCAGGAACATTCTTGTGGCCTATGAGGTGATCAGCAAAAGGCTCCTGAGCATGGAAGAGCATTTGATTAGGGTAGCATTCGTGGGGCCAAGTGGGATTGAAAACAGGCTCAAGGTAGAGAAGAGTGGAGTTAAGATCCCAGCTGTCGGGCTGGAGAGATGGCTCAGAGGTTAAGATCATTGGCTGTTCATGAGTTCAATTCCCAGCAACTACATGGTGGCTCACAGCCATCTGTCATGAGATCTGGTGCCCTCTTCTGGCCTGCATGGAAACATGCACACAACACTGTGTGTGTGTGTGTGTGTGTGTGTGTGTGTGTGTGTGTGTGTGTGTAATAAATTATATGTGTAATCATAAAAAAAAGATCCCAGCTTGTCTGTGTGTATTTTTAAACAAATAATGAATTTAAAACTGCTGGAGTTTTTAGATTCCATTGATGACCTTAAGGAATGGGGAAAAACTCATTTCTGTCTCAGTGTTCACTCTAGAAATTATATTTTTGTTGTAAGTTTTTTTTTTTAAGACAATCTCAGTGCATCCCAGAGTGGCCTCAAGCTTGTGACAATCCTGCCTCAGCGCCCCGAGTGCCAGGATTATAGTGATGACCCAGTTTACATATATATTTATTCAAAAACATGCAAAGAGACTGTTTTGAAATGTTGTTTTAGGGAGTAGTAAGTAAACTTCTTTCAGGAGTTTATGCAGGCTAGGGAAGTTGTGGGGGGGGGGGGCGCACAGTGATTTGAGACGGGCTGAAGGCCGGGGAAAGGCACAACTTGAGGGCCTCCAGAATGAAGACAAACAGCAGTGAGGAAAGAGAGCGGGCATATGTGGGGACAAAGTTAACTTCTTATTGCTCTAACAAACTACCCCAAATGTTCTGTTATAGACATTGTGTCGCTGTAGGGTCAGTACCCGGGAGGTAGAGGTTGGGAAAAGAGCTCCGGTCATCCTTGGCTGCAAGCTAATTCTAGGTCCTCCTGAGCTCCAGACCAGCCTGAGTTGAAAAGTGAGACCCTGACGCTGGAAGAGAAAGCCCGTGTGTTTAGCTTACAGTTTCGACTGCCGAGCGCTTGTTGCCAGCACCTCGTTACTCTCAGAAGTCCTGGCTCCATCCTAGCACAGCAGATGGCATCCTGTAGATGAGAGGAGAGGAACCGTGACTCTTTCATAGCCAGCGTCGCCGCCTTCACCGCAGCAGTGCCCCCAATCTGCCCATCTTTTCACCACCTCCAATACTAGTACATAGGATTGCATGTGATTCTCAAGGGCAAACCTCTACAAACAGCAGAAAATTAGTTATGAAGTAGCAACAAATAATTTTATGGTTGGGGTCATCACAACATGAGGAACATTGGGAAGGTGGGACCCGCTCCTTTAGAAGATACCTAAGATACCCAGACCACCAGCACTGGAAGTTTGGGAGGCTGGGGCAGGAAAACCACAAATTTAAGACCTGAAAGGACTGGAGTAAGTTCAAAGACTGTGTGGAGAATTTAGCATGAGCCTCTCTAAAAAGTGAAAAAGAGGAGCTAGAGAGACAGCTCAGCACTTGAGAGTACATGCTGCCAAGGATGACCCAAATTCTTGATCCTCCTGCCTCCATCTCTAAGAGGTGGAGAAACTTATCTCTTTAAAAAATTAAAAATAGGTAGTACTTACTACACAATCATTCTGAAGGACCAATAGGTAAAGGAAATCATATATAAACCTCCTAGCCAAGAAATGTAATCAGCCCAGCATGTTGGTGCACTCCAGTGTTAGTGCCTATAATCATAGCGTTTTGGAGGCCGAGGCAGGCAGATCTTTGAGTGCCAGGCCGGCCTGGTCTACACAGTGATTTCCAGGCCAGCCAGGGCTACATGGTGAGACCTTGTTTCAAAAACCAAAAACAACAACAAAAAAGAAATAGAATCAAAGTTGCCACTTTTTGCATTTGTTGAAGAAAAGGATCATATGCAAATGTTGCTGTCAGGGATGTAGTGGAAAGGTGAGCTGCCATTGCAGTCTTCCATATCATAGAAATGAAACCACTGTTTTGTAATTGGGAATATAAACATGTTTGTTGTAGTATTGTTTACTGTAGCAAAAGACGAGAACAGAAAAATATTTTTCCACTAGAGAATAACTTGCTAAATTACATATGAGCCACAGGATGGCTTTTAAATGATATGGATCATTTAAAAGACTGATTAGCACTATGGAAAATTGGCTTGAAGGGATGTCTACAAGATAGTTGATCACAGAGGAGAGAAAGAGGCTGTTTTATTTGAACTCTTAACAGTGACCCAAGAATAAAATTAAGGTATATATGCTGATATGAATGTAACTATATAAGCATGGAGTCAATCGTAGCTAATAACAGGCATCATCTACATGGTCCTAATGGTGCATTGAGAGGAGAAAGCAAATTAATAGGAGAAAAAAGACTGCACTGAAAAGCAAAAATGTGTATTGTGCTCCCATTTGTGTAGAGTGATGCTGTATCTATAAAGCCCTTCTAAAATTAATATAGATCTGTGCAAGAAACCGCAAATATTACAGCCATGTATCTAGTGGTGTTCTGTCTGGTTAAAAACAGACGGAACCCAGGACACACCCCCCCCCCCCAGTCATACCTGTGCTGGTAAATGATGTGGGCCAAGAGGAGGACCTGGGAGTCTGTCTGCCAGAACCCAGTCAGATTGAGAAGTGAGGAGACAGCCCACCCTTTTATGGTCTTTGGTGCATAGATGGACCAGCAAGAGAGAAACTGGGATTTGGTTGCCTGACTTGAAAAGTGAAACAATTTTTTAAACAACTTAGAATTTATAGGGAATAAAGTTTTTATTATTATAACTCGACTCCAATTTGTAATAGTATTCTAGATTACAAAGTGTCCAGAAAATTCTTTCTGCTCACCATGAACTCTATTGTATTTTTTAGGGTCTCTATTAAAAAGACCTGTTGGAATGTAATGCTAGGACTGTAGAAACCTGGGGAGGTGGCATGACTGCTCTGTGTGTCCTCACCTTCCCTCAGCACATGATGGCATCGTGATTAAGATCGAGGTGCAGACCAATGATGAGGGCTCAGAAGAACTGGAGACACCAGAGCCGCTGATGGGACAAGTGGAAGAACACGGCTTTCAGGACTCAGAGCTGGGTGACCCCTGTGGAGAGCAGCCAGACCTGGACATGCAGGAACAAGAGAACACGCTGGAGGAGTCCACCGAGGGCTCCAGTGAGTTCAGCGAGCTCAAACAGATGCTGGTGCAGCAGAGAAACTGCACGGGTGAGTTCTGCATTGTAGGGCTGCAGAGGGCCTGTCCCCTGTGAAAGGGTCCTAATAAATTCAGGATTTGTTAGAATCTCCCAGCCTAGGAAAGAAGTTGGTCTGCCCAAGATTGGCACAAACAAGAACTCAGAGACAGATGAGGTCAGAGCACGTCCAAGGTCACACAGGCAGTGGCAGAGCTCGAACTTCCTTCTCATTTATATTTATCTCATACTGTTGTGACTTTGGAGTTTGGTAGTTTTGTTTTACTTTGTTTTATTTGTATAGTGTTGTCTGTTTTTGAGACAAGGTCTCACTAAGTAGCCTAGGCTAGCCTTCTAGTGCTGGGAATGAAAGTTTGTGCCAACACACCCTGCAAGAAAAGCATGTTTTAAAAACAACATGGGCAGACCTTGTGAGTACAAGGGTCTGCTGACTCTGCCTACCATTCTGAGTCCTAACCTAGAAAGGGTTAACTCTCCTCTTCTCTTCCCCGCCCATTCTCTCCCACCCCAGTTCCCCATGCTGGCCAGAGTCTGAGTGTGCTTTCTCTGGAGTGCCGCTCGGACCTCCATCCCAGCCTGACTCGAACAGCACAGCTTTTCCTTCATTTCTCCACTCTCCTCTGAGCAGCTGCTGAGGTTTATAGCTTGCCTGCCCTGGGGTTTTCCTTTTAAACTCTTAAAAAGGAGAGAGATTCCTGTCCTTCTCTGCTCGGCTCTGGCCACAGTGCTTGTAACTACATAATCCCAGTGTCCTCATTCTGCTCCCCGGGAGTATAGTATTGTACCAGTGGGCATGCAGTGCTGATCCTGGAATATCCTTCATGACAGTTTTGGTTTGTTTTTTTTTTGTTTTTTTTTGTTTTTTTTTTGGTGCTCCAGTTTTCACTGGTTGGCTCTTTGTGTTTTGTTTATTAGTTTGTTTTGAGACTGGGGGCTTCCAGTTGTAGCTTAGATTGGCCTTATTCTTGATCCCTCCTGCCTCAGCCTTCCCAATGCTGAGAGTGCAAACATGTACCACCTCACCTGGCTGTAATCTACATCTTTTCAATTAATAAAAATCTCATGGTAAGCTTGGTCAAGTGATTAGCATCTAATTTATTAGATTTAAATAAGCGCCCCGAGGCCAGGCCTGGAGGCTCCCTCAGCACACCTGTACTGCCTGTCCAGCACTGCAGTTGACAAGCTTTAGGGGGGTAGTTCTCGCTCTTCCTAACGCTGTGACCCTTAACACAATGTGACCTCACATTGTGGTGGCCCCAACCATAAAATTATTTTCGGCCCTACTTCATAACTGTTATGAATAATCTATATCTGTGTCTTCCAGTGATCTTAGACAATCTCTGTAAAAGGGTCTTTTGACCCCCAAAGGGTCATGCAGTGCTCAGGTACAAAAGACAGGTGTAAAATTATCTAGAAAGATTTTGTTAGAATTTAAAAACTGTACTGGAGGGCTGGAGAGATGGTTCAGTGGTTAAGAGCATTGCCTGCTCTTCCAAAGGTCCTGAGTTCAATTCCTGGCAGCCACATGGTGGCTCACAACCATCTGTAATGAAGTCTGGTGCCCTCTTCATTACAGATATACACAACAGAATATTGTATACACTATAAATAAATAAATAAATAAATAAATAAATAAATAAATAAATAAATAAATAAATAAATAAATAAATATGAAAGCTGTACTGGAGACATAGGTCAGTGGTTAAGAGGACAGACAGTTCCCAGCACTCATGTTGGCAGCTCAAAATTGCCTGCAACTCCAGCTCCAGTGGGATCCCTTACCCATACACAGATACACAATTAAAAGATAATAAAACAGCTGAGTAATATTATACAGACCGAGTAAGTTATAGTTAGGAAATTGTGTGTGTGTGTGTGTGTGTGTGTATTATGGTGTGGTGGTGTGTAATAACAGCTAGAAAGGAAGCCATGAATTTGAAAAGAGCAAGGAGGAGTAAATGGGAGGGTTTGGAGGGAGGAAAGGAAGGGAAGAAATGTTATTTTCACAAAAGATATCTGAGCAAGGTAGCACGCATCTTTAATCCTTAAGAGACAGAGATGGTTGAACTCTTGAGTTCAAGATCAGCCAGGGCTACCTAGAGAGACCCTGTCTCAAAAGCGAAACAACACTGGTTAGGAAATGCCAAATCACTGACTATAAAACACCTGGAGAAATTTGAATGAGTCAGATGTCTCGTAGATTCTCAGGGACCCCTGTAGAACTTGGCTTTATTCAGGTCCTATGGGAACAAGCCAGACTTGGAGGTCCAGGGAATCCACCGGGCGCACTGCAGGGCGCTGCACTCTGGATCCTGAAGGAGGCCTCAACTCGGGTCTCTGAGAACTGCATCTGTACTTCCTGGGTTGCTATAAAACCAGAGCCCAAGTCCCAGTAGAGAAGAGCTCGGTTGTGTCGAATGTCACTCACAGGTCAGGATCACACAGCAAGGCAGAGAGACTGAGAAGGAGGGAGGAATTAATGGAGGTGGGTGAATGAAGGCATGATGAGGAGAAAAACAGGTGGGCTCGGGGAGGAAGAACTGTCTGAAGGAGAAGGATGTTGATTCTGCAGTGCCCTTTGAGACCATTGCCACGCTAGGCCCCAGGTGCACCGAAAGGAGAAGTGGAACTTTGCTGTCCCACACACTGGAGTCCATGTGCACAAGCTCAGGCATGGTGTGATGGTTCTCAGGGCTGGTTTCTTTCCCACTGGGGCGTGATCCTCCAGCTACTTCGTATTAGGAATACCAGGGCACCAAGTAGCCAGCTCCCCTACTTCCTCCCCAAGAGCCCTGTTTAGTTCTGGGTTTCACAACTGGTCATCCAAAGGTAGGAATCATGGGACTAGATTTTCCCAAAAGGAGGAATTTGGATAAATATATTTATGTATCAAGGTGTGTGTGTGTGTGTGTGTGTGTGTGTGTGTGTGTGTAGCACAGTGTTTATTGGTGTGGATGAGAATTAAGCCTTGTGCTTATCCAGGATCAGGGTTCTAGATAATGGCTAAACTCTTTTTTTCTAACCTTGGAGCAGAGGGGATCGTGATAAAGACTGAGGAGCAGGAGGAGGATGAGGAAGAAGAAGAGGAGGATGAGCTGCCACAGCATTTGCAATCCCTTGGGCAGCTATCCGGGAGGTACGAGGCCAGTATGTACCAGACCCCACTTCCTGGGGAGATGTCCCCCGAGGGCGAGGAGAGCCCCCCACCCCTGCAGCTGGGCAACCCAGCAGTGAAGAGGCTGGCGCCCAGCCTTCATGGGCATTCACATGGCCATGGTGAGCGGCACCTGGGTGAGAACCGTGGGTCCTCCAGCCAGCAGCAGCGGAATCGACGAGGCGAGCGGCCCTTCACTTGCATGGAGTGCGGCAAGAGCTTTCGGCTGAAGATTAACCTTATCATCCACCAGCGCAACCACATCAAGGAGGGGCCCTATGAGTGTGCCGAGTGTGAGATCAGCTTCCGCCACAAGCAGCAACTCACACTTCACCAGCGCATCCACAGGGTGCGCAGCGGCTACGTCTCCCCAGAGCGCGGGTCAGCCTTCAATCCCAAGCACTCACTCAAGCCGCGCCCCAAGTCGCCCAGCTCAGGCAGTAGTGGTGGCTCCAAGCCCTACAAGTGTCCCGAGTGTGACAGCAGCTTCAGCCACAAGTCAAGTCTGACCAAGCACCAGATCACACATACGGGAGAGAGGCCCTACACGTGCCCGGAATGCAAGAAGAGCTTCCGCTTGCACATCAGCCTGGTGATCCACCAGCGTGTGCATGCTGGCAAGCACGAGGTCTCCTTCATTTGCAGCCTGTGCGGCAAGAGCTTCAGCCGCCCATCGCACCTGCTGCGCCACCAGCGGACTCACACCGGCGAAAGGCCCTTCAAGTGCCCGGAGTGCGAGAAGAGCTTCAGCGAAAAATCTAAGCTCACCAACCACTGCCGCGTGCACTCGCGCGAACGGCCGCATGCATGCCCCGAATGCGGCAAGAGTTTCATCCGCAAACACCACCTGCTGGAACACCGGCGCATCCACACGGGTGAGCGGCCCTACCACTGCGCCGAGTGTGGCAAGCGCTTCACGCAGAAACACCACCTGCTGGAGCACCAGCGAGCACACACTGGCGAGCGGCCCTACCCCTGCACGCACTGCGCCAAGTGCTTCCGCTACAAACAGTCGCTCAAGTACCACCTGCGGACCCACACGGGCGAGTGAGCATGCGCCCCGCCCCTGCCCCGGCCAGATGAGCAGCTAGATGCAAGGGTCTATGGCCCCTGGGACCGGTGCCTCAGTTGCCCCCAGGCTGAGCCCAGTGGGCGGGAGCGGGGCGCCCCAAGCCCTTCTGCTGTGAACCCTCCTCCCCTCCTGTCCCTTCTCCCCAGGACGGGTAGTGAAACCAGGTCTTTTGTTGCCTGCTTCCCCCAGGGTCCCAGGGGGGGAGCTCTTGGGCCTGGGGAACCCCTTCAGGCTGTTAATTTCCTTGACAATAAAATGGATGAAAACAATCTGCACGGGGGCAGTGATTTGGCTGCCAGCCACTCAACAGGCGGCGATGCAGGGCCATTTAGTCCGGGATAGAACTTTCTAATTACCTTTTGGATACTGTGGTTCTATTTGATAATAATAGAGTAATTTTTAAAAGATGAGCGTTTCCTGTTTGCTGTTCTTGTTTGGTTTGTAAGGGGAGGGGCTGGAGTGGCCCGAGGGCCGTGTACCTAGTATCACCTAACAGTGGTTGTCCCATTGTCCATGGGGGGCGGGGTAAGGAGAAGCAGGTGCCACTGACTGAATATAAAGTCAAGAGGAGGGACAATGCTGACCAACTTGAAGGCCCGATGACTGGGGAAGGTGAGCAGTCACAACTACCATTGGGGCGTTGTTTTTAATTATGTGGGGGTGGGACTTGTGTGTGCACATGCATGAGTGCACAGAGGTATCGGGTCACAGCTTATGTAGTCCAAAGTCACATGAAAGAAAATGACAGGATTTTTTATGTTTGCTTTTTTGGGTTTTAGTGTTCTGAAGCAGGCTCTTGCACCTGCCCAGGCTGGTCTGGACTCGCTGTGTAGCCCAGGCTGGTCTCAAACTCGTGGCATTTTTTTTTTTTTTAAGACAGGGTGTCACCTATATACCTCTGGCTGTCTGGAACTTACTATGTAGACCAGAGTGTCCTGGAACTGATAGAGATCTTCCTGCCTCTACCTCCAAAGTGCTGAGATTAAAGACCCGAACCACCCATGTCTGGGTACAGCTCAGATTTGAACTCGAGTCTTCAACCCAAAAAGCCATGTTTGATCCTAAAGTTCTTTCCCTGGGATCTGGAGGTTGTTGGAAAGAGAAAAGCCAGTCTGTTATCTATTCTATTTATAGCAGATTTTTTTCATTGAAATTAAGATTGAGGGAAAGGACATCTATTAAGGGAATAGACTGTGTGTTTGTCAAAACGATGAGTGTCCTAAGGCTGGAAATGAATTTTAATGGGAGAGAAAACACTAGCATTTCCTAGAAGGAGCCATTAAGTGGGCGACTGATGAGTTTTCTCGGCTATCAGAGAGATTCTTGTCGGGGCAGGAGGAAGCAGATGAAGTAAGGTGTGGGCCTGGGACCATTAAGGTACTTGGTTGTGTGGCCTTCAGAATTACGTACGGGGCTCTGTGAGGAAACAAAACAAACCATTGCTGCCTTGGCAGTGCTGGGCTGGGCGGCTTTGGGCTTCATTCTCTGAGCTGCACCTTTGGAGTCTGGAGAAGCCTGGGCTTCAGGGAGAACTTTTTCTCACTTATCACTGGCAAAACAACAAACAAACAAAAACAAACAAAAGGCCACATCTTTGATTTTCCACCTCTATCCTTCCCCAGAGCAGTTCCAACAGCCAGGTGCCCGGGAGACCTTTCCCCGGGCATGTGTGTCAGGTCTTCAGATTAAGGGATCAGGGACTGAGGCCCTGTAGGCCCTTCTGTTGCCAGGGCAATGCTGAGTCAGGCCCAGGCCTCTGCATCAGCCTTCTGGGAAGTGATTTGGCTGCAGCATCGTCTTGCTTCTGGTAGTGGGAACCTTTAAATTAAAATTTCTTCAGAGTTGATTTTGAATTGATCACTTCTAGTTGGGTTCCTTGAAATGTGTTTTTGAAGTAAACGCACCATTTAATTTTTTTCTATTTCTGACAAAGGATAGCCACAGACTCAAAGAATTAAAGAAGTAAAAGGAACGAAGAAAAGGAATTCAGCCTAATACTACTGATAGTGGCCTTACATAAAATCTGAAATCATCTCAGTTTATTAAGAATAATGGCCATAACCTATGTTTAATTTACTCTTACCATATTCTAGGCATTGTACAAGACAAATATTTCTGTCTCATCCCGTGACAAGCTATGAAATTGCTGTCCCCGTCCCTTCTAACAGATGACTGTCAGACATCAGCCCAAACTTGCTTGGCCAGAATTTAACCTAAGCTCGGCCCCAAAGTATTTGCTGTCAAGCCTCCCAGTTTTTATCCAGATGATCCTTCAGAAGAGGAGGCAAAGCCTGCAGCTCTGACTCATGGACACCTCCTTTAAGCCTGGACCCGGCTGAAGGCAGACATCTTCCAACCCTGCCATTCCTTAACCAAGATCTAGTAGATGTTGCCCACTTAGTGGACTGGGACTCGGAGAAGGCTGTCAGTTTGCCTGTCTGTCAAAATGACGGCTGTCGTGACACAAGCTACTTTGTGTCCTGAGGTTAGCAAGAGGCTACCACCTCCTAAGGTTCTGTCTGAGGCTGGGACCCAAGAAATCCGTTGTGCAATTATCAGAGCAGCAGTTGGGGAAAGAGATTCTTCTGTTGTTTGGCTTTGGTTTTTCGAGACAGGGTTTCTCTGTAACTCTTACTGTCCTGGAACGCCTCTGTAGACCAGGCTGGCCTTGGACTCACAGAGATCTGTTGTAGAACATTTGTTTACACTGTAAAGATATCTCTGCCTAAGGTGCCTTCTGATTGGTTTAATAAAGAATTACATGGCCAATAGTGAGACAGAAAAAAATAGGTGGAACTTCCAGATAGAGGAAAAACTGAGAGGGATCTAGGTGTGATTTTGCCAACAGACTCCAACAAGTCTTATGTGCCTTACTAAGAAGAGGTAACCAAACCACATGACAAAATGTAGATTTAAAAATATGAGTTTAATTAAGTTATAAAGACTAGTTAGGGGGAAAGAAAAGCCTAAACTACGGCAAAGCTCTCATAAGACGTCTCCGGGTCATTATTTGAAGGCTGGTGATCCAAAGATAGTCCAACATGAAAACTTGCCTGCCTCCTGAGCGCTGGGATTAAAGGTGTGTGCCGGCACTGCGTGGCTGGAAAAGGAATTCTTAGAAGAAAAAGGCACTTTTAAAGTAACACACCCTGCCTCTATGCGGCAGGATCAGAGCTACCATCTCTCGACATGAATGAGAACAAATGCTAAACTAACCCAAGCCGACTTGGGACATGTGATGTTCCTGACTCGACCCGACCTCCAGTGTAGCTGGGATTACAGATGCCACCAGGCCTGGCTCAGAATCTTTTTGTTTGTTTGTGTTTTGTTTTCCAAGATAGAGTTTCTCTGTGTAGCCCTGGTTGTCCTGGAACTCACTCTATCGACTAGACTGGCCTCAAACTCAGAGGTCCATCTGTGTCTGCCTCCTTAGTGCTGGGATGTGCACTGCAGGCTTAAGCAAGTGCTCTTATCATTCTACCATCATCTAAGATAAAAATTTTGTGTGGGGGCTGGAGAGATGGCTCAACAAGATCACTAGCTGGTCTTCCAGAGGACCAGGGTTTAATTAATTCCCAGTGCCCACGTGGCAGCTCACAACTGTTAGTAACTCCAGTCCCAGGGGGATCTGCTGCCTTCTGACCTCTCAGGACACCAGGAACACATGGAGCACAGACATACATACCAGCAGAATGTCCATACACATAAATAAAAAGTTTGTTTGTATATTTACCTACTTGAGCATAGTTAACAATGAAAATTGCATTAATTTTGTCCAAAAGCAGTACATGGGTTCTCACAATTTTACCTCCCAATAATTTAATTCTAATTAATGTAAAACTAAGACGATTACTCATTTTTGTTTTTAATCTTGTGGTTGCTTAACTTGAATTAACCATTGCCTTATTCAACCAAGTTTATGATACGTCTTCAAGTAAATTTGGGGAGAAAAATGTTAAAGGTTTCAGAATGCTGAGAGAGGGGGAGCTTCAGCAATGTGTTGGTGTACACCTTTAGTCCCAGCACTAGGGAGACAGGGTCAGACAGATCAGCCACTGCCATGTGGTGACCCCCTATGTCAAAAAAAAAAAACAAATAATATGATAATAATTACCAAAACAAACAAGTGAAAATCTAGACCAACTAAGATGGTCTCTGTATATCTGATTCAAACAGTAGACATATTGAAAGAAATAGAGGTGCATTTTCCTTGCCAGCTGCCTGGAGTCTTGGAACAAATATTAACTTCACCCAAACAGATGCGGGTGTTCATTTTATGGAAAAGATTAACTCGCCTTAGCACATAATCACAGAATTTGAAACTTTTACTTAAACCATTTTCCTCCTCAAATGAAAATAGTAAGTTCTTTCTTTCTTTCTTTCTTTCTTTCTTTCTTTCTTTCTTTCTCCTTTCTTCCTGGCTTTAAAAAAAATTCTGAATTCTTTTTCTTTTGTTTTTCAAGACAGGGTTTCTCTGTGTAACAGCCCTGACTGTCCTGGAACTTGCTCTGTAGACCAGGCTGGCATTGAACTCAGAGATCCATCCACCTCTGCCTCCTGAGTGTTGGGATTAAAAGCCTGCACACCACTGCCTAGTGAACTTCTGAATTCTAAGCATCAAAAATTTTTATGTGAACAAATGACTTCTTTTTCTGCTAATCAATTTCTCTCCTAAATGTGACCAAAGAAATGTGTGTTTGGTGCCATCTGGCACGAGAACTTGTAGCCGTTTCCACACCTGTGGTGGTAACATGAAGTGTGTTACTTGGAAGGGCCTACTGCCCCTCTCTCTCTTTTAGAGGCAGAGTCTCCTGGAGCCAGGGGGGCAGAGAGTGCCTATATGTGGAAGGATGACCATCTGCTTCATCTCCCAAGTGCTGAAAGAACCAGCTTCAAGACACATAGCTTCATCAACTGGACGAAGATCTGCCAGCTCCGCAGTTCTAACTTTCTGCACTGTGTCTGTATTCTCAAACTTTTGTTTCAGCCTCTGAATCCCCTGTTTATGTCTCACCATGTCCACGGCAAGGCGTTCTCCTGCTGGCCACTGCTGTGGCTTCTGTGAGGCGACCACCAAGGTGCAAGCTTTCCAATGACTCTTCCTAACAGGTCCAAGTCTCAAACCAAGCTCTGTGTGTTTAATTTATTCAGTGACACTTGGCCATAGTTACCTCAGTCTTGGATAGAACAAAGTTTCTTAACTTTAATTTTCTTTTGTGTTTCATATGCTTGGCAGATATTCCTATCAGAAAATGGTAAGTCTCTATAACC